AACACGTAGACACTTACACTTTCTCGACGACGTACATATCTCTATATTTCGATATTTCAATTTTTATATTTATATATATATAATAATAAATATTTTATATTGTATATATATATTGAATAATATTTTTAATTTATATAAAAGTTAAATCGCGCGCGCGTCATATGTGATACAGCATGCAACACTGGTCTGCTGGTTAGATATAGATAGATAGAGTGAGATGATAGATAGAGTGAGATAACACATAAAGTCAAAGGCCCTCTATTATCGGAAAAACGAGATGGACATTTTCTCTGGTCGACGACGTTAATAATGATGATGATGATGACGACGTTTCTTAAAATTGAAACGTGAAAATTCACAGATCCCGACTTTACGTCGCGATATCTCCGCTCGTAGGGCACGTAGAAAAAAAATGAAAGCACTTTTATTATACAATTTTAGTATTTCCTGTCGATTGAGCGTATGTAGAACTTGATCGGTTCAGCCGTTACTGAGATCTGATCATCTCGACCCGAAAAATTCTCCATGTCGCGTAAAGGAGGCACGGCAGTGTCGCGCGCTTGGCTTAGCGCCGAGACACTACCGTGTCTCCAGATTTGAAATCAAATTTTCTTCTTCAAAAACGACATTCTGAATATTATATATTGTACTTTCTCTATAGGTATATCCAATTCCACGAACGTTGATTAAAGTCATCTCTTAAAGTACGGATTGACGAAAATTCTTCAGCAATTTCCGTCTCCTGATTAAATGTTACTAATGAAGTCCGATTAGATGATTGGTTAAAATGCACAGAAGTAGTTTTAAATTTGTTACCAAATAGATCTTCTCAAATTTGAGAATGTAGAAAGAGCGATAACATAATAATTTCATTTCAAGCGAAGTCGGTCATTTTTGATCGGTTACTCTAATTAACGATCAGAGCGCGTTTTTACTGATATTCAGAGCTAAAATGCAATCAGAGAACTACAATTTCTTAATTGTGTTTGGTTAATCTTAATATGTAGTTTAATAAGTTATTTTAATCAATGTTGGTGAAATCGGATCTGAATATTGTATTATATTTAAAAGTCTCTAATTTATATGGAAAAGTGGAAATGATAATAAAATAAGTTGACAATGAATATGAATAAGTATAAACGTTTATTTCAAATACAAGAAATTAAGATAAATGTACATGTGTTTAGTCGTATGAAATGAACTGAGATATTATTGAAGTCGAAGGCATTTCTTTTTTCATTGTTTTTAATCTTTTTTCGAGATACACTATAGATATTGTAGGGTCTGACATAGAAACTGCTCTGTTGAATACGTCTATCAGACGAGCTTCTCTGTTGGTTTGGCGAGCATGGGTGGTCATATTCCTTCGATGATATTTGTGCCACGATTCTGCAGCATCTTCTGCATAATACACTAATGAAAGTGGAAACATTCGAGCTATTTCATACCCATGAATCAAAAGCTTATGAAGTGACGGATTCTTTCGAACCCATGGATACACTTCATAATGCCTCCGATATGTGGTCCAACAGAAATTTTGTAATTTATCCAACATCAAACTCTCCTTACATTTGAAAAGTGAGAGGACTGTCGATACATTATGGACTAATTCCCTATCGACCCCTATAGTTTCCGCAAATTTTACAGGGTTTTGTAGACATTTCCTTGCTACATTCCCGGTATTAGTTGTTCCATGGCTGTTTGAGATCGTCATAATAACCACGCAGTAATAGCATACACACGAGCCTCGCTTCGTCTAGAAGTTTCGACAAAGTTGTCATTTTCTCCTCTAGTCAAAGAAAAAAAACGTAACTCATGTTTTGTACACTCGGAAACGTTCGAGTTTAACGGCGCCTCCGGCTAATCGACAACCGTAACCAGATCGTAAAGCGCCTGCGCGCCCGATGACGTGTCTGCTTCTCGTCATCACGCGCCAATCACCTATTAACTGTCTCACCTGCGCATGGCAATTGCAATCCTTCACGCAATCAAACTAATGAAGCGCGAATCAAGTGCGGCGACAGGAGGTCACCTCAAAATTCATAATTTTGAAGTGTCCTATTGGACAATGATCGAAAAGTTCCTTGTTCAAGCGAAGGTATATAATAACAGATTCAGGCAACGACGGGCACTTCTTCTGCTTCACTTTCCGTGTCTAGTAGTTAGTCGCCGCCGATTATTGTTAACCGCCTCAGAACGAAATTACACTGCGTAGAACATTAAAATCTCATCCGTGAAACCGCCATTGCGCTAAAACTAAAATTATAAATCAGTCAGAGCCTTGTAAGAGTTTCAGTTTTACTGTGTTTTTTTTTTGTAATATTAATAAAGTTGAACATTTTTTTTGTTGCAATCCTGATACTTAAATTAACAGAGCTTGTTGTTCACCTCAATCGTTTCGCTCACTAAATTCCAAACAATTTTTGGTCCTTCGAGCCGGATCCGTTATCTCGGTGCCGCGTGCACAAGAGTTCATCCATCGCGTTCAGTGCACGTAGTGTCTAAAAACGAAAAGTTCGTTAGTGAGTGAGACATGAGTGACATAAATACCTTGTTAACCGCTCAAAGCGACATCCACGGTCGCATAGCCAGAGCCGTGTCCAATCTGAAGAAGATGGGTGCGGGAAACATTACTCTCCATGCCGTGGAAACTCGTCTGGTTCTCCTTGACAATTTGTGGGCCAAATTTGAAAAGCAGCATGAGCTCATCCGAGCGCACTACAAGGAATCGTTTGATGAAAGTGAGTACAGTACAACTCAATTTGCCGATGCCGCTGAAATTACGTACGTGCAGCAACGGAGCTTGTTGACCGAGTACGTGATGAAGATCAAGGCCGAGAACACAGATCCTGCCCCTCAGGTCGAATCGAAAGGCGACGTCTCCACTAAATCGACACTGCCGCGTCTCAAAATTCGGTCGTTCTCCGGAACATTCGAAGACTGGCCCTCGTTTCGAGATATCTTTATGTCCATTGTAGGGAACAATTCGTCCATCTCGAATGTGGAAAAGTTCCATCACTTGAAACATTGCTTGGAGGGGCCAGCTGAAACGTTAATACGTCCGTTGACAATTACCGGAGATAATTATCTGCGTGCCTGGACATTGCTGTGCAAACACTACGAGAACAAACGGGAGCTATCGCGCTCAAATTTTTGTACATTCACCGCCGTGCCGAGAATGAAGGGAGATACAGCCGAAGAGCTCAGTCGAATTTATAATGCTGCCATTAGCGCGGTGAACGGCCAAGAAAGCATTGGGAGATCAATCAACACTCACGGTCACGATCTCTTTAACCATCTCATCATTGAGCTCTTCGACCAGAAAACCCGCCTCGAATGGGAGTCACACACAAATGACTCAACCGAGTTACCAAATCATGAAACACTCATGGATTTCATAGCAAAACGGACACTCGCTCTCAAAGCCGCGAAAACGAAAACCGCCAATGTCTCCGGAGACCCGTCGCGATCCGCGAAAACGCATGTAGCCAAGAGCGCGAACCATGCCTCCAACTGCGTTTTGTGCAAAGGGAAGCACAACGTCATGATGTGTGAACAGTTCAAGGTCAAGTCAGCATCCGATCGAAAGGCAGTAGCAGAAACATACAGATTATGCTATAACTGTCTCGGTTCTCACGCGATTGCGAAATGCCAGTCAATAAAGACTTGCGCAACTTGCAAGGCTAGACACCACACGCTTCTTCATGACGCGTACGTTGCCTCGAAACCTGCCGAAGTCAGCACGTTGTCCGCCGTGCAACAGGACGAAGATTGCAAGGCCATTCTACTAGCAACTGCTAGGCTCACCGTCGCCGACCGTCACGGGAATCCGCATCCAGTGAGAGCTCTAATTGACCAAGGATCAGAAGTTTCACTGATCTCCGAGGCGCTCGTGCAACATCTGCGTCTGCCTAGGTCCCGAGCGGAGGTCACTATCTTCGGGATTGGCGGCTCTAAGTCCGGATTTACTCGAGGAAAGGTAACTCTCAATCTCATTTCCAAGGTCAACGGACAGCAAGTCAAAGCTGTCGCCTTCATCCTTCCAAGACTCTCTCTCTACCAAGGGGCGGCGATCAGACACGCAAGGTCGTGGCCTCACATCAAGGATCTTCAACTCGCGGATCCAGAATTTATGGCCACCGACCCTGTCGAATTGCTACTTGGTGCGGAGGTCTGTTCGATTATCTTGCAAGATGGCCTTCGAAAGGGTGACCCTCAAACTCCTGTTGCTCAGCGAACACTCTTTGGGTGGATTCTTTCAGGGGGTTGTGGAGAAAATCAGATTGCAGCCTTACGCAGCTCTTTCCAGTGTACCGCAGATCATGACTTGACTGCGCTTGTGCAACAATTTTGGGACCAAGAGAAAGAACCTACCGCTTTCCTCGCACCCTCGCCCAACGAGCAATTATGTGAAGAAATCTTCTCTCAAACGCATACCCGCACGGAAACAGGGCGATATATGGTGCGTCTACCATTCGCCTCGATACCAACTCCCCTCAATGATACATGTCACTCCGCCCAACGAATGCTGACTGCTATGGAGAACAAGTTCAAACGTAATACTCGGTTCGGGGAGCTCTACCGGGACTTCCTGAAAGAGTACGAACAATTAGGGCACATGGAGTTGACATCAAAATCATCGGATTCTCAAGAACAAGGCAAGTGTTACCTACCTCACCACGGAGTGCTGCGAGAGTCAAGTGCTTCGACCAAACTGAGGGTGGTATTCAACGGATCGCAGCCTGCGAAGACTGGCAAGTCCTTGAATTCTCAGTTATTGACCGGTGCCAATCTTCTGCCTCCACTCGCTGACTTACTGACGCGATGGCGATGGCATCGGTATGTATTCGTCGCTGACATTGAAAAAATGTATCGTCAGATACTCGTGTTTCCAGAAGACCGCGAGTATCAGCGTATTCTTTGGCGTCAAACAGAAAACGATTCAATTAACGAGTATAAATTAAACACTGTAACGTACGGTCTTTCATGCGCGCCATTTCTTGCCATTCGCACTCTCCGCCAGCTGGCCGATGACGAAGGATTGAAATTTCCGCAAGGTTCCGCTGCATTGCGACGCGACAGTTACGTTGATGATATCGTGACTGGAACGCACACCAAATCCCAATCAATAGCGTTACAAACGGAACTCCGTCAGCTCTGCATGGCGGGCGGGTTTACGTTAAAAAAGTGGGCCGCCAACTGTCTCGAAACCCTCGTTGGAATACCAGCAGACCATTGTCTCATGTCAGCATCACACTTATGGGAGCACGAAAGCCACTCCACCTTGGGACTGAAGTGGCATCCTGTCAACGACGAGTTCGCGTTTACGATTCGGCGTCGTACTGTTACCAAGTACACGAAAAGAATTGTTCTAGCGGAAACAGCTCGACTATTTGATCCTCTCGGATGGCTGGCTCCGGTGGTGATTCGCGCCAAAATTCTCATTCAATCCGCTTGGCTGAAACAGCTAGAGTGGGATTCTCCGCTTCCGGCCGCGGACGCGCTCCGATGGCAGCGATTTCTTGAGGAGCTTCCACAGCTTGAACGTCTTCGCATAAAACGTTATCTCGGAACCGGTGCCGATGATTCAATGATGGAGCTCCATGGCTTTGCCGACGCTTCCGAGAGGGGATTCGCAGCTGTCGTATACCTTCGTGTCATCTGCAAGGACGTCGTCACAATACATTTACTCGAAGCGAAAAGCAAAGTTGCTCCCGTCAAGCCCGTTTCCTTGCCAAGATTAGAGCTGTGCGCCGCCGCTTTGCTGACAAAGTTGACAGTTCACATTCGCTCAATTTTGAACCTGTTTACAGCTCCGGTTATACTGTGGTCCGATTCCAGGGTCACTCTACATTGGATTCAAGGTCACGCTTCCCGGTGGAAGACCTACGTGGCTAATAGAGTGTCGTCAATCCAGGAGCTGCTTCCAACCGCACAATGGCGTCATGTTCCTGGAAGAGACAATCCAGCAGATTGTGCTTCTCGGGGAGTAGCACCGGATGAACTAGTTCATCACCCACTCTGGTGGTCAGGTTCCTCGTGGCTGACAAAAGATGCCTCAACCTGGCCAAGTGGACTCCCTGAGGTTTCTTTAGAGGAGCTGCCCGAGCAGCGTATCACCGCGCATGCTACTATGACAACGAGTGTCACAGAACCCGAACAGCTCCTCCGCTTTTCCACGCTTCATCAGCTTCTGAGGATCTCAGCGTGGTGCCTGCGCTGGCCGCGGATCAAGGAAGCACAGCGAGAGTCCGGAAGACCGGATCTAACCCCAGACGAGCTGGACAAGTCATTGTTTCGATGGCTTCAAGTAGTTCAAGCACTGCATTACTCCATGGAAGTTTCCGCAGTCAGGAATCACAAGGCAATACCACATCGAAGCCAACTTCGAACTCTGAATCCATTCCTTGACGATCACGGAGTGTTGAGAGTCGGAGGTCGCCTAAAGCACGCTATCCTTTCACCTGACGAACGGCATCCAATGATTGTACCTCCACAATCATATCTCACTCGCCTATTAGTGGAATCGTGTCACCGCCGAACACTCCATGGAGGGGTACAACTAACTCTGGGCATGCTGAGGTTAAGATTCTGGATCCCTCGAGGACGAGCGGTCATCAAGTACTGGCTACACCGATGTGTAATATGTGTTCGATGGAAAAGGGGCACGCCACAGCCGTCAATGGGGGACCTGCCCAGAGGCCATAACTCCTGCTAGACCGTTCCTAAAAACCGGCATTGACTATGCTGGACCAATCTTTATCCGCTCGAGCCGAGGACGTGGACATAAATCATATAAAGCATTTATCGCCATCTTCGTGTGCCTCTGTTCCAGGGCCGTACATCTTGAGGTTGTCTCGGACTACAGCACCGATGCGTTCCTGGCGGCGCTCCGCCGATTCACATCACGAAGAGGATTGTGCTCAGATCTTTTTTCAGACTGTGGTACAAACTTTGTCGGTGCAGACCGACAGTTGCGAGAGCTCTTCAAAGCATCCCGCAACGGCCGTCGCATTGCCCATGCCGCTGCGACAGAAGGAATACGATGGCACTTCAATCCACCATCCGCACCGCATTTCGGGGGCCTTTGGGAAGCAGCGGTGAAGTCAACGAAACATCACCTTCGACGAGTGATTGGCAACGCCACTCTCACTTATGAGGAAATGAATACTCTCCTTACTCAAGTGGAAGCATGCCTTAATTCTCGGCCACTTCAAGCACTTTCTGACGATCCTGACGACCTATCTGCGCTAACTCCAGGACACTTGCTCATTGGCGCTCCATTGCTAGCTATTCCAGAGCCGTCGTTGATGGAGAAGACAGCAGGCTCTCTCTCTCGATGGCAACACCTTCAAAAAATGCGAGATCACTTCTGGGAAAGGTGGTCGCGCGAGTATCTGCATACACTGACCTCTCGTCCAAAATGGTTCAAGTCAACCGAAGCACCTCACCTGGGCTCTCTTTGCATTGTGACTTCCGAAATAACTTCACCGAATAGATGGCCACTGGCTCGCATCACGCAGCTGCATCCGGGAGAAGATGGAGTGACCCGAGTAGTGACCGTCCGCACAGCTTCCTCAGAGTTTGTTCGACCACTCGTGAAGCTAGTGTTACTGCCAGACTGCTCTTCTCCAATCAACCCATCCGGGGACATAGGAGAGTATTAAAAAGAGCAATGTGTGAAAAATTTTGTTTCCATTGCAAACCATCTAACAGATCGTGAAATTGTAATGCTTACCTGTCATCATTCAAGCTACATCTATTTACCTTATAGCATGCCCGCGAAACATCATAACGATGCAGAAGCGATTTTTTCTTGTCACCCTTTACTTCGCGTCACAATCAAGTTTCACATCATAGTTTTCTAACCTAAACACATCGACACATTGAAAACACGAATTGAAGAGTTACGAAATATCATTGATAAGTATCTATCAAATCTCATACGCAAATATCTGCTGCTGTCAGCTAGCGCCATCGTAGTCGTCGCTATCAATTTCAGCATTACTCAAAACGCGGAATCGCGGCATCTACGCAATCGCCCCCCGGTGAAATTAATTTCGTCACAATGTGACGAGGCGGACGGGAATGTTTGAGATCGTCATAATAACCACGCAGTAATAGCATACACACGAGCCTCGCTTCGTCTAGAAGTTTCGACAAAGTTGTCATTTTCTCCTCTAGTCAAAGAAAAAAAACGTAACTCATGTTTTGTACACTCGGAAACGTTCGAGTTTAACGGCGCCTCCGGCTAATCGACAACCGTAACCAGATCGTAAGGCGCCTGCGCGCCCGATGACGTGTCTGCTTCTCGTCATCACGCGCCAATCACCTATTAACTGTCTCACCTGCGCATGGCAATTGCAATCCTTCACGCAATCAAACTAATAAAGCGCGAATCAAGTGCGGCGACAAGAGGTCACCTCAAAATTCATAATTTTGAAGTGTCCTATTGGACAATGATCGAAAAGTTCCTTGTTCAAGCGAAAGTATATAATAACAGATTCAGGCAATGACGGGCACTTCTTCTGCTTCACTTTCCGTGTCTAGTAGTTAGTCGCCGCCGATTATTGTTAACCGCCTCAAAACGAAATTACACTGCGTAGAACATTAAAATCTCATCCGTGAAACCGCCATTGCGCTAAAACTAAAATTATAATTCAGTCAGAGCCTTGTAAGAGTTTCAGTTTTACTGTGTTTTTTTTTGTAATATTAATAAAGTTGAACATTTTTTTTGTTGCAATCCTGATACTTAAATTAACAGAGCTTGTTGTTCACCTCAATCGTTTCGCTCACTAAATTCCAAACAATGGCCCTGTAGGATTTGATCAGCCCTAACACCGAAGGCATCATACACTTTTCCTTGGATTATTCTTTTTTTGACTTTTGAATGTTTCTGAAACATGAATATCCCACCATCTCTTTTAATTTATATGTAGCAGTAAGAGATACGCTTGAAACACTACACAGAGGAAAAAAAATGTTAATTTAACCATTATCTGAAGGTAAAATGTGTGATTCCAAAAAGTTTTAAATTAATAATTTTTTATTATAAGAACAAGAAATAACATTTCATTTTTAATAACAGAGTTCGGTATAGAAAAATTACGAAATATAAAAAAAATTGAACTTAAAACTATGATTTATCATTCACAAATATTATTGCAGTATAAAATTATTTACCTATACTTAAAACTTAATAAAATTTTGTGCCACAATAAAAAAATAAGTGGCATATTTCGTATATAAATAATATAAGTGATTTTTCTCCGAAAACCCACCACCGATTTTTTTCATTTTCGTTTTAAAATAAAGCATACAACATGTTATACACATTAAACAACTTATTTTTTCACTCAAATTCAATTCAGACACAGTGTGAATTACGAAGTTCAAATGTACTAAACATTTTTTCACTGCCCTACTGCCTTTAGTACTACTACTACTACTATTACTACTACTACTACTACTATCTTAACTCTTCGGAGATAACATACCTTTTAATTCTTTTGAAACATTCCATGACTGAATTGGCAACCTGTACGCTATATGAAGGAAGTGTTCAAAACTTTTAATTTTTGCATGTAATAAACCAATCCCGAGTTTCAACGCAGATTCTTCGGGATCGAAACTATCATTCAGATTCCCGAACTCGTGCGCACTTCTTCCGCACATTGGACATCGCGATGTTACTTTATTTCCAACTATCGTATTGACACATTTGCCATCAAATAATGTTCTAGAAATATCAAAATGTACCTTTACTCGTTTGTTTCTACAATTGAATGTATATGCATTCAGTTCATCTATTTCATTTTGAATCCTCGCATCTTCTTTAAGAATTGCTTCTTCATCCTCTTTTTCCAGAGAGAGTCTTAGTCGCCGAGAAAAACAGACGCTTTGTGGTGTGGGATTTATCCACGTTTGTGTAGCGCTTTTTAGCTGTAATGAGTTCACACTCATGTTTGTAACAAGAAGAGAATTTTGTGTATTGCGATTTATGTCGGCATTCGAACTCGTCTGATGCGGATTGACGTGACCCGAAGAACTGTCGAAACCTAATGTGCAATGCAAAACTAAATTTCGTAAGTCTCGGTCCTGCCAGTCTGAAGCTACAGCATAACACAATCTCTTTGCAGTTTTATTTAGCATTGCTTGTAACGGTGTAACGTCCGCCGAAAAACATACAGACGGCGAACGTCGCTAACAGGCAACGCGAAGTGGTTGTCATAACAACCTTCTAGCGTCCTGCTCCAAGAAGTGATCACGCGCTTATCGCATGATCAACAGCTGTAACGATACTTCAAGCGCGCGCGCGCATCGAATTAATATAATTGAACGAACTGAATATAAAATAAATAGAATAAATTAGCAAGTGATACACTTTGAATAAACATAAAACTATATACTTGTGCAAAATCAAGGCACAAATACTAATTATATAAGGATCAAAGATTGTTTATTCAAAACCTGTAATCACTTAAGTATAAAATCAATATCAGTTTGATAAATAATATAGTAACAAGAAATACTAGTCATTTCGCTTAAGTATCCTAATCAAAAACCTCTTAAATAAATAATGAGGTAACGCGACGAGGCATAGCGAGCCGAAACAAAGAGCCGATACATACGGCATAACTACGTGCATAAAAACGAGAGCAACTGTTCGGGCGAATTACCGCTTAAATCAATAGTCAATAAGATGCAGAAATTGCACCGCAGTGTTGTGCCTTGCGGGGGCTGTGCCCATCAATGTGTAGCTTCCCGAATTTAACTGCTAACTATTGAAAATTAATAGAAATTAACAAACAGAAAAATACAGAATAATACCGGTAAATAAGCTACACATTGGGGGGTCAATTCCCCTCACCGCTCAGCATCACCATTCGACATAAACAGAAGTTCCGAGAATTTTCCAGACGATTCTGGAAACAGAAATTCGTGACGCAGTTTCCGGAAAGGACAATCCCCCTTGTCCTCGCGGGGATCACCCCTTGATTTGTATATAAACCGTGTCCGCTAAGAGCGCAGCGCACTTCGTTTCTTAGTATTCTAATTTGCACTTCGCTTCACACTTCGGTTTTCGCAATCTAACTTCAGTTGTCGCACTTCTTTTTCAAACAAGTATTAATCAGTTCTAGTTTTGAATATCTGTATTTAGCTTCAATGAAATCATAAAAGTTGGTCGCGAATACTGTTAAATTGTTCTTTTTTTTGTATTCTTTATTAAACCAGCGGTAAACTTGAGTAATATCGGCGTCCGTATTAAATATATAAATATATATCTACATCTTGTTCGCATTATTAACAGTCAATTTTTGGTGTAAGTAAACAATGAAATAAACCTCTTTTTGGTTCAACTCTTCTTCTACTCAATTTAATTACTTTTCTAGTGTCGTAATGTTTCGGCAAATGAAGTGCCTAAGTGTTTCGTGATCGTCTGTGGTGTCCATAATTGTTACAGTGACTTGGATTCTCGGAGAGCTGTAATTTATAATAAAAACGCGTTGTTTCGGGGGCTTCTCTGGGAACGGCCGCTGCGAGTTTTAAGACAAACTCCAGCCGCCTATGGAGCGAGGCTCTAGCGGCTTTCGGGAAACACAAAGCCGCCCCTCGTTTCTCTTGCAGACGCCACCGCGTTAGCTCGCCTGTCACTCGAATCTCGGCTTGGAGTTCGAGGTGCTCGGAGGCCTTCCCGGAAAGGGCCGCCGCGAGTTTCAAGACAAACTCCGGCCGCCTATGGAGCGGGGCTGCAGCGGCTTTCGGTAAACACAAAGCCGCACCCCGTTTCTTCCGGTTACGCTTCCTCTCGGTGTTAGCCATTTGGTTTTTAAAATAACGGCAGCTGGTCCACTCGCGAATCCAAGTTACATACATTCGCCAGACCCCAGTTACCACGTGGGGCAAATTTGGATGGCGAAACGGGAACCTCGCCCCGCGTCCGCGCTAAGTACCGCCGCGCAGGACGTGACAACGGAATAACAATTTCCACATCGGAAATTACTGAACACTTACCCTGCACTCCGCACTCTTCCATTGCTTTTTTAAGTACTTGGTAGCATGGGTATAATTTACATCCGTTTTGTATTGTGTCGCTTACCAATGCTTCATACGTTCTTTTAGAATAATTATTTTCCAAATAAAACGCTAGAGCGCTTTCCGGTGAATGTTTCGATGGAGTATTAACTTTATTACCATATGATCTTGGTTGATTACTGGACGAAGAATGTTGATTATCGGATGAAGTCGCACTGATTTTCTTTTTAGGTGTATTATTAATGACATTTATAACTTCCGAATCACTTGACTGCATTAATTCTCTTGCTCGCCTGTACTTGGTACTTCTTGATGCATTTGCAGCATCAACACGTTTTCGCCCGCTATTTGGACGAACCCGTGGTGCTTTCTTTGATCGACCATTTTTCTTTTTTGTTTTAGGCCAAACCATTTAGAGATTCGCAGATCGATCCGTCACGAATTATAAATATTTGCACACGAAGTACCCTTACTCAAATCTTCATTCACTTGCATGCGTTCAGTTTATCTAACTTTTTAAATTAACTACTGCTTTTTCGTCTTCTTGTGTCTTCTTAACAAAGTCTAATAATACTATAACATTGCGGATGCGAGGGGTTCACAATTATCACAAAACAAAAGCGCGCTTTGT